CCATAAGCCAGCAATGTGCCCTTGCAGCCAAATAGGCAAATGGCATCCTGGGGTGTATCAGGAGAGGGGTGGTTAGTAGGTCGAGAGAGGTTCTTCTTCCCCTCTACTCTGCCCTGGTGAGACCGCATCTGGAATATTGTGTCCAGTTCTGGGCTCCTCAGTTCAAGAAGGACAGGGAACTGCTTGGAAGAGTCCAGCGCAGAGCCACAAAGATGGCTGAGGGAGTGGAGCATCTCCCTTATGAGGAGCGGCTGAAGGAGCTGGGTCTCTTTAGCTTGGAGAAGAGGAGACTGAGGGGTGACCTCATTCATGTTTATAAATTTGTAAAGGGCGAGTGTCAGGAGGAAGGAGCCAGGCTCTTCTCAGTGACCACCAATGACAGGACAAGGGGCAATGGGAGCAAGCTGGAGCATGGGGGTTCAACCTGAACATGAGGAAAAACTTTTTCACTGTGAGGGTGACAGAGCACTGGAACAGGCTGCCCAGAGAGGTTGTGGAGTCTCCTTCTCTGGAGACATTCAAAACCCGCCTGGACGCCTTCCTGTGTGACCTAGTCTAGGTGATCCTGCTCTGGCAGGGGAGTTGGACTGGATGATCTTTAGAGGTCCCTTCCAACTCCTGAGATTCTGTGATTCTGTGATACATGTAACTAGAAACTGCAGTACTTTGAACTGGTTGCTTGCAGACTGACTCTTGATGAAGATAGTTTGTGATTGCCAGTTTTCTCAACTGCAGCCTTTTGGTTGCCTCAGCTCAAACATTGGACGTGCCAAGGTGAAGGTATATATCTGGGGATAACAAGGGGAAGTACTTTTGCAGTCATGAATGTTAATCAGCCCCCATTTTCAGGAGAGAACTTGAGGTTATTTGGCAAGGGTTTAAGTTTAGTTGAGTAGAGAGAGCCTGCAGCCACTGAGCAGAGGTAGACTCCTTCAGATGAGTCATCAGAGCACCAAGGTTTGGCTTCCACTCTAAATTGCCCTCTGGACAAGTCTGCCTTTCACCAAAGACTGCAGAGAAATCCCTCTGTGAACACCCTTTATGGTACACGGTTATTTTTCACTGAACTCATTGAGATGCCAGAGTTCTGCACAAACAAGCAGCACCTGAGTAATGAAGTGTCTCAGGAGGCAACGTTTGCTTGTATGTAAACCTGCTGAGTTTATTTTCAGGGTCCAAATACCTTACAGTGCACAAATGGTCGGGCAAGCAGCATGCAGAATGTCAGGCTTGGATGCTTTGTTTAGTCCTAAGCTTTTTGCTGTTGAGTCTTTCATGTAAATAAAGGACATGTGTTTTTATTTGCAGATGATCCTGCCAGCTCTCCAGTGCACGTATTTTTCTCTCCTGTGGCAACTAGCTGCAGTTTCGGAAAATTCTCCCAAGGTTGGCCACTCTACATAATTTTGGAACCCAGACTTGTGCTTCTAGAAGTTTAAGTTGCTTTTCTGTTCTCAGATAAATCTAAGATAATTTGTTTATTTTCTTGAGGAAACCAAATTGAGTGGAGTCATTTTCTGTCTGTCTTGCCCTCTTTTATTTTAGAAGTGTTTACGCTGCTTCGGTCTGCAGGACAGTAAGTGAACAATGGTTCACCTCTATTTTTACTGCCAAACATGTGCATTGAATTCCTGGGGCATTATGGAGATAAGGAACTTGTTCCACTGCCAGTTTGTTGTTTTCCTGTTCTAAGCAACAAAAGCATTTCCAGTGAAAACTCCTAGAAGTCCTGCTGCTTTGCTTTGGTTTTATTTTCTTGTTTTACTTTTATATTTCAGGCAGAAATTTGGAGGAAAGTGGTACTTTTCTCATCAGCTGACTGCTTTCTTAACTGCTTTTATAAAGTGCCAAGCTTTGGCAGATATTTTGTAAGACGGTCTAGTTTAAGACGTCAGAGAGGAGAAAACTCTTACGCTTTGCTTCACATGTGAATGTGTACCTTTGCGGCTCCTCTTTATGGTGATTTCTGACCATATCGAGTGGTGCTGCTTCTGTCATTCCGTTCCCTTGCTCTGGTGCTCCTGTGTGTAGGGAGCAGGACACTGACACGGCCACTTGTTTTGCGTGAGAAATGCTAGCCGGGAGGTTACCCGTTTGGGGGCTGATTCACTGTCTATTCCCGTCCCATTCCATTCCTGTGTAGATGCCCGCATCTCTCACTGCTCTAATACGTTCTGCCTTTCGGCAGGCAGGGTTAGCTTGACTGATAATGGGGCAGCACATTTTTTAATTTGGCCTTTCATATGGGAGCAGGTTTTGATTGGAAGCACAATGTTACGGCCCACTCTGCAGGGCCAAATCTGGATCTTGGCAGAGAGAGCAAAAAAGAACATTTCCTGGACAGCAGCTCTAGGGCTGTTTCTTCCCTCCCCTCCTCCCGCAGCGGTCTACTTCTTCTCAGCACACCCTGCGATAGATCCCCTTTCTTATAAAGATACAGTTGCATAGCATGAAATCCATCTCCCCTGTAAGGGCATTCCTCTTCTATTGACTGCTCCGAGCTCAGTGCAGTGCAACAGCTGGGACCTGGTGAAGGATCAGAAAGCCTTTTATGTGGCGGTGGGCAAATCAAATACTGTCTCTTGCTGGATTCATCCTAACAAATAGAGGTGCCTAAGTTTCTAAATGCCAAAGTTAGCAGCGCAGTTGAACTGGGTTCCCTCTGTGGTCTATGGAGGCATAGAGAAGAGCAAGTCCAGAAGGCAATTCACACTGAAAATTATGTGGGATGGACCAGAGTTTTTCTGACTCTTTTTCCATCTCTGAAGTGGAAATCATTATCATTGCTTTATAAGGAGAGGTTGAAGTGAATAAGGCAATATGTGCTATAAGAGCTGCCCATCCTACAGATGGAGAAACAAAGAGTTTGTGACTTGCTGAATACCACTAGCCTCAGCAAGTGTGACAGATGCACGTGTCCTACTAGAGTTTGTCACGTTTCTGCACCAGGGTAGGGGGAATATGTATTTTTTATGGATTGACCTTTCTATCCCAGATACTGTGCCTGAAAACAAGGCATGGTTTTAAAGTAGTTCATAGCTAGTAAGCTGTTGCTGCTGTGAGATGTCAGCTTCTTTTATAATGTCATCAGCTGTGCTATCTTAAATGAATAGTATCAGTGGAAGAAAGAGGCAACTTTTGTTTGTTCTGTAATTCTCTATTGAATCATAGTTCCTAACATCTTTATCCTGTCACTTTTTCTAAATATGTCTTTAGGAGACCCTTTTTGCGCTAAGGAGAGAGCTGAGACGTTTCAGTCAGATTTGTATGTGCTTTCTCCACCATAAGGAAAAAGATGTAAGAGAAAAGGTTTGTGTTTCTCCATCACTTAACTGGCATTCATGCTCAGTCCTGCTTTTAAATGCCTGCCTTTATTTTCATACTAGTATTTCCTTCTACTGATTTTTGCAATTTTTTGTCTCTTAGCAGAGAAACAACTCTTTAAAATAAATAGTTGAAGATCTTTTTTTTTTAAAGGAAAAGTTATGTTAGTTAAAACACTGCAAAGGTTAGTGCTTTAATCAAATGTAGATATGTGACCAACTGCAGAAGCAAGGCCTGAATCTGAATGACTTAATTTGCCAGTTGCTAATCAATGTGTTTTCTGATTAGACTAATCAGTGTACTGGTTGCTATCATTGCTTTATTAATGCCTTGCTATGAATATTACTTAAAAAATTAAAAAAAATATAAATTTTCCAGTGGTTTATGTGTTAAAGGAGAGATATTCTAGCATAATAGAGCTCTTCTTCCTTCCCATGGGAGTTTGAAAATGTTTAGGTGGTGTTCATGCATAATATTTATATATGCTATATAGCCTATGGAACAAGTTCTGGAAGGGCTTAGCAGTGGCATTTTACCATATGCTGGAGCAAAGAAAAATCTTTAGCTTGCAAGGGAGAAGTGGGATAGAAGCTGGATTGTGACTTGCAGTGTTTGTTAGAGATGCAAAGTGGAGTTGGCATGAAAAGTATCGTGGTCTTCAAATCCTTCTTTGGCTGTTTGCTTGACACAGGCTTTCATGGTACTCTGTGACTGGTTGCTGATTTTGAGTCATCAGGATTCAAATAATAATGAAGAAGCAGTCAGACTGCTAGATTATCTTCCTAGTACATCACTTCAGGAAAAACTGCTTTTGTTTATCCAGGAATATGTTTTCAAGGAGGAAGAAGAGGAGAACAAAGGTAAGACATCTTCATCGCTGCAGAAAATCTACCGCTTACTGTTATTATTATAACTACCTGTTATTCACCAATCCGTATCCTCTGTGCATCAACCACAGGAAATAGCTGCCAATTTAGTTGTAAAGAAAGAGGGCTGACGAAATGCAGGGATGGGTGAGAATGTAAAAGTAATTGCTTGACTGACCTTGGTGGTATGGATGAGGATGTTAGAGGAAGGCCTTGCAGTGTTACTGTGTGACTCTGTCAATGCATGGACACTTCTAAGCCATCAGGGTAAAGTAGTGGTGGATCTTGATTTGGGGGATGTGGGTCAGATTTAGTGGGAAATGGTACTTGTTGCTCTGCTGCCTTTTTGAAATACATTTAGATGCCATATTGAGGCTGTTATTTTGAAGGCTGTGTTCTTTTGGGAGTGTTTTGAAAATTGCTTGTTAGCTCATTGTGGTTTTGAGGCTGAGTTCAAGTGTCATGCTTTGAAAAGCCAAGCATTATTCTGGATTACTCTGTCAAACTCTTGCCCTTCATCTGTTCAGATGGAGTGCTGTGTTCAGTTTGTGCACCACACTTTGATATGCAAGAGGTGATGAGCCTGAATTGCCACAGGGAGATAGTAGAAGAGAATCCTCATTGGTAAAAGTAGAAATACAATAGAAAAGATTGCTCAAGTAGGTTGCAGTATCCTAGTCATGGGAGTTTTTGTAACAGGTTATGTTTCAGGTTGCCTGTGTTGTGTATATGAAACTGATAAATCTGATCCTATTTTGGGTTAGATGGCCCGAGATCTGTTTCAAACTCATTTTGTATGATGCCGTCAGTTTCTCAGTCCTTCTTACAAAGGATCCCAGTCATCCCATTGCAGATTCCTGCCTGAACAAGTGATTTCGTCATGCTATGGGTGTGCTTGTCTGTGTGCACAGCTGGCAGCTGCTCCATTTGAGTTTTAACTGCAATTTGCAGATACTTCTGATCAGTCACTTGCGTTATGTTTGTTTCCAAGCCCACAGTTGGGCTAGAAGCAGAAACAGTCCACATCAAAACAAATCAAAATTATAGGTCAAAGGCTGAAGCCTTTGGCTGTTGATAGATTACATTTGCAGCAGGAAAGAATCTATCTCAGCTTTCCTGCTGCAAGAAGCTCTCCCCAAGCACCTTTGTAGCTGTGTTGGAAGGCTCTTAAGAGTATTTGTTTTTCTGCAAGTTATCCAGGCAGTAATTAACCTATGTTCCAGAGGCTTAGTATATTCTCAATGATATGAAATGACTTTTTTCTTTTACTTGTGGTGATAACCACTTGGAGAGTTTCATCTGAACCTTGTTGACTGTGTGTGGAAACTTTCGTAGGGTTTCCGATGAACTATGTACTCGTTTTCTAGCATCTGTGTTATTCTAGGGAAAAAAACTCAATGTGGTTGCAATTTGTCTGGTCTCTTCCCTTTGGTGTGTTTGTGCCTTTTATTCTGCACTCTGTTTTGTTCTGTTCTGTAGCTGTGAGTGGTGGTGTACAAGGAGATTCTGACTAGTAGAAATGTGAAAGCCCTATGAAGATCAGAGTAGAAGACTGTGGAAATAACTCATTTTCACTGTCATCAGCTGCAAGCTTTGACAGGAATGAGCACTAGCATCTGTTGCCTAGCGTGTTGACTGAACAGCCGAGTCTGTGCTATTTGGATGAAAGTTGGTCATTAAAATTGAGATATCTTGAATAAAGTAGTAGAACAAAGTTTTGATGCTTTTGTTTCCCTAGACCTGACAGAAGAGGAAGAGAGAAGGGATGAAAGTTGCAAACTTGACGACTTGCACAAAAAGCGGAGTCTTCTTGCAGCATATTGCAAGTTAATAGTGTATAATGTGGTAGAGATGACTGCGGCTGCTGAGATCTATAAGCATTATGTGAAGGTAACGTTTTAGATAACGTTGCTTTGCCTATCAGTGCGTTTCAGTTTCTGGAAGTGACTCCAGTGTTTGTGAAAGATGTGGGGTTAATAGTCTTACGGCTCAGAATCCTTGTGTAATCTCAAAAGGGCTATACAATCAAGCAAGAGTCAGACAAATCTCTCCCCTTGGCTCTGCAAAGGTACCTCACTGCAGATAAAATAGCTGAAAATAGGGTACAGGGTATGCCTGTCTGAACATGTGCTCCTTGGCTTCTCCAGAGAGGCCATTGCAAAGCAGCCGTTCATGGCTGGGAGGGTGTTTAACTTGGAGATTCTCACATTGATGCGGTTATCTTACTTCATACAGCTCACACAGTCCAGTGCAGGTGGCCTAGATTTCACATGGGCCTCGGTGTTTAGACAACTGGCAGAGCTTCAGCCACTCTGGAGTGGGTTTCAGGAGGGCTGAGAACAGCAGAGAGTGGGCAGTTGCCTTGAGTCAACCAACAGGACTTTGGAAATACCCAAATATGGGTCCTGTTCTTGACTTCATTGGGCCTAAGGCAAGCATTGATTAAATACAAAAAACTCTCTATTTCTCTCCAGACTAGGCTTTGTTCTTTTGCTGTAATAAATAATTAACCATTTCAGTGCAATTTTAATCCTCACGTTACACTTATAGGACCATAGCATTTCTTTGCATATGAAATAATATAAACAGTCCATTTTTCATCTTTTAGCTTGAGTGTTCTGATATTGAGAGTGTTTTATACACTTTTTGTGTGACACGAACAGAGTCGTGTGTGTTGTGTAGTCCCAGGGCTAAAGAAGGGGAATGCTAATTCTCATTTGTTTTGTTGCTGTTCATAGACCTACAATGATTTTGGAGACATAATTAAAGAAACGTTAAGCAGGACCAGGCACAATAACAAAATTCAGAGTGCCAAGACACTGATCCTCTGTCTGCAGCAGGTAAGGTTAAAGCAAGAGGATAGGGGCTCTCATGACAGCTGTGTTCATATTGGAATATTTTACCTACCTTGCCATAATTATTCAGATTCATTAAAAACCCGGTGGAAGAAGTGGTTTTCTAGATTGTACTTTATGTATGTTGGTTTTGCATGTTATAATTAAAACTCCTTTCAGTCATCACATCTGTTTTCAATGCAATTTTGTGGAAGATTTTTTTGTCTTGATTTTAACAGTGTGTTTCTCGGGACACAGTAGGTGTTTCTTAACCTTAACTGAGGTTAAGGATATTATTCTGTGTTTTATGGACTACCTCAATTCCTATTGAATTTGAGGAACCACAAAGGTACCTGTGGCTGGCCAGCTCTAATCCCCAGTATTTTCAGTATTTTTTTCTGAAAGAAAGTGGGGTGTAGGTCTTCTGAAGGGTCCCAGTTGCTGGAGCTTGCAGCTGCTGACTGGCGAGGCCACTTAGCTATTTTAGCAGCTGCTTTTGCCGACACTGCCCATGACCAGAGCTGCTTTTTGCCTGGAGTCGTGCTGTAAGCCACAGAGCAGGCTCCTCCCAGGGGGTACTGATACATGACCTTTGCTTATTTCACGCACATTGCCAGGGGCTTAGATCTGCGAAGTAGCCCCTGAAATCTGAGCTTACATGAGGCTAAGCAGCATTTGGCTACATGTATTCTGCTGACATAGTCAGGACTTGGTGTTTAGGTATCACATAGACAACAGGCCCTTTTTGGCCTTTGCCTGACCTTGAAAGTTAACAGGTTGAAGGGAACAAGCTACCTCCATGTTCTGTTAGGAAAAAAATGCAAAACAGTTACTTTGGCTTGAGACTTGCTTTTGACCCAGTCTCACTCCTAGAAACTGGACTATGCTGCTGCCAAACTTGCTGCTTTATGTCTGCATTCTGATATTCCAAAAGCCACTCAGGCACATTAGACCTCTTGAGCTTGATGCAGAAGTCCCCACAGGAGATGGAGTTAGTGGAGGCAACATCTTAAGGAATCAGTTCTCTGTGTGCACATATAATTTCTTTTTTTATTTGTGCCTATCTGTTAAGCACAACAGTGTCCTTGGTATCAGTTCCTTCTTGTTGTTCCAGCTGTGTGCTTCTGAAGCACAGGACTTACCTGCTGTTGTGCAAGGCTTGACATATGGTTGCTTACCTGAGACTTCTTTTGCAGCTGTTTCAGGCTCATGCAGAAAGCCAAGACAGCAGCAGTGGTGTAGACTTCTCCTCTGCTTCCTTCACAAATATGAAAGAACTGGCTCGTCGCTTTTCACTAACGTTTGGCTGGGACCAGGTGAAATCTAGAGAATCTATAGCCATGATACACAAGTATGTGCCATGTAACATCACTTTGTCCATGGTCATCGCTTTTGCTGCTTGTCTGTTTTATTAATCTCTTCTCTGTTTTTTCATCCAATAGGGAAGGGATTGAATTTGCTTTTCAAGGAGCTACTGGAATAGATGGAAAATGCTTGCCTCCCAACTTGAGCTTTCTGTTAATCATCAGCGAATTTTCCAACAAGCTGCTAAAGCCTGACAAAAGACTAGTGTAAGTTAACTTCTTGCACAGTCATGCACAGTCTGTGTTTTGTGTATCCTTGTGCGTGGGACACTTGACCTTCAGTGCTACAGAAGTTGCTCGAGGGCTTTTCAGAGAACTTTTGAAATCAGTCAATCTGCCCCTGAGGCAATTAGTTTGAGACACACCTGTAGAATTTTGTAGTAGTAGTTATTTCGGATTGTATGTGCATTATGCAGTCTGGATCCTTTTTAGACATAATTGTGGCCACATGTGGCAATTCTAAGGGAAAGACAGTGTTAACTTAGTGGAAGAGATTTGCAACTTGACTGGCTGGTGGAGTGCCAGGAATGCTTTGCTGAACAGAAAAGTAAAGCAGAAAAGATTGAGGAAGAGGTAATGTCCAGATCATTATTTTGCAATGATCTCATTCCATCGCTTCAGGACTGAATTACCTGAGTTACATGGAATATATTTGGAACAGAAATATACATGAAACTATTCATAATTGGGATATTTAAATTCAAGAATTTACTACAGGGGAATATGCCCTGCTCCAGTTGGGCCCCTGTGTTTTACAGTGGTTTAAATATTTACATTTAATAATATCAGAATGATAGGCTTATTTTTGCATCATGGGACATTATCCATCTGAACAGAGAGATGTATGATTATGTCTTTTACTGCCTCCTTCACCTGCCTCAACTCCAGTTGTCTTTGGGAAGGAAGTAATGTTCTTTCTGCTATTTGCTGCTTATTTTCGATGTGGATCTCTGCACTTCAGTCTTCTATTTACAGATACTGTAAAAACTGTTACAAAATATTTAACAGCTATTTTAATTTTCCTGAGAGCATATATGAAGACATGGCAATGTAAGATGAAACATCAAGACACATCTGCCTGTTTGAATTTCTGAGCAAATCATTCTAGTACCTGACAGGAAAAATTGTGCTTTGAAGAAGAAGTCAGCAACAATAGAAAAAACCCATACCCAACAACTACATATTGCTGAGTTCTGTGTAACTTGTGTGCTTTTGTGTCTTAAATTGGAGATTAACTTCCATGAGAATCATCAACCAGTTTTTATATTACAAGGGTCAAGAGTGGTAAAATGTCAACTTTCTTATTACATGAGAAATACGATTTATTAGTAATGATGAGCTACCCAGTTGATAAATTTTTTTTAAAAAATTGATTCAAATCCAAAAGGCAAAATACAGAAGAAGAATATTTGATGTATACTGATACAATTAAGTGGATAATCTATGGGTAGTGATTACTTCCCTTTCTGTTCTTGCATTTTTCTCAGAGAGAATCTTTGGGATCTATGACTAGAATTGGTTTTGTGGTTTCTGTACAAGTCTGTCAGTGTTACCTGGGTTTTAAAGACCTATTATCATCTGCGTGGTGACACTTGTGCAATAAGTAGTTTTCTGTTAATCCATCCTTGAAAAACTCTGTCATTTCGTTTACCTCTGAGGGGTATTTTTTGATTAAACAAAAGGAAAATATTTCATGATTAATGTGGGCAGATTTATAGCTAAATACTGATGATATTTTCCCTAGGGCTAAATTTAGCTTCTTGACCTGTGGAGATACTCCAGAAGTATATTCCTGAATGTATTAGATACATTCGGGTAGGTTTATTCATTGAAAACTTTAGTGGGAAATACAGAACCTAGCAGGGCATTAATGCTCTTTGACTTCAGGTCTTACTGCTTTGGGCCCTCCCACTGCTCTTGGGAACAAATGGGAAACAATAAAATTCACAAGGGGGGAAATGGCGATTTTATCCACAACTACTTTCAAACAGTGTTTCTAGAGTAACAGTTTCTATTCCGGGAGGCCTAAAATGCCTTGCAGAGGCTGGAGATTATATTTCCTCTTAGAAATATTTAGGTTTAGCTTCATCATAAATTACTGGGTGGAATGTTTTAGGTCAACATGAACTTTTAGAAATAAACATCTGGTTATTTTCATTTTTATTATTAGTCATAGGATTGATGTCCAGGTCTGTACGTTAACGTATGTGAATGTACCTGTAACAGATGAGATACAGAATATGGGCATTTGTTAGAAAGGAGTATATTTCAACGCCATCAAAGTATATGGATTTTAACTTCCTCCCCTGTAATTGCCCAGGCTGTAGCAGTAAAATACCTGACTTGTGAATTGCTCTGTTCCTCAAAACACACACAAGAAATGAATTATTGAATAACAAGCAGCACGAAGGGCCTGATTCGTGAATCGGTTGGAGTCTTTCCACTGACATTGATAGCAGTTGGATTAGACCCTAAAACAGTAGTTACAATGCGTGCTTGTTCGAAACCAACAAATGCCATTGCCAGGGTTTCTGGGTCCCTTGGGCCCCCAGGGTCCCTGACTCGAATAGTTTCAGAGTTGGTACGTACCCCAACCTCCTCCCAGCACCGGTTTTCTTGCTTTGCAAAGGGAATTCAATGTCTGATATTTGCCAGGCCACACTCCTAATCAAAGGAAGAGTAATAATACTGTGCAGGCTGGCGTTAAAGCTGTCACTTGTGGTATTTGCTAAGGTGGGCTCTGTTTTTAACAGCACTGGGCTTGATTTTAAAGTGATGAGCTGAAATGTGAATATCCAGTTTCTAATCCTGAGTCAGACTTTGGTTTTCTTTTCTTATCGCTGTGAACTAGGAATAGGTCAGAAAGGCTTTGTCAGAGATGCCCTATGTTTGCAGGAGACCTCTTTGCTCCAGAACAGGCGATGGCTTCACCTGGGACTCAGGGAGGCCCTGTGTCAGGTCTCTGGATTGGGTCAGGCAGAAGAGGGATTTGAACCAATGTTCCCCACACCCTGTGCGTTGTCGTGGCTGCAGAGCTGTTAACTGCTTCTTGCAGTCACTACGAATTTTATTGGGAACCTGAGCGTTTGAGATTATGTTATAGAAAAGTGGTTTCATTGGTTGGTCTTTTTTATGATTTTGACAAAACAGGCATTCATGGCCTAAATACCCCATTTCCTGACCCACTGTACTATTGAATCACAAGGGGCATCTCTTGCCTGGGATCTCCTTTGCATTGTAGTCTGCAAGGCAGAAAAGGGCCACCAGCAGAAGGAGCGCATCCTCGCAGAGCTCTGCTCCCTTCAGGCTGCTCCTGGCAGCAGCAATTGGCAGTGACTTTCCCTGCACAGGAAATTCTTTCTAGAGACTGATGTAATTCTGTAATTCCTGTGAACTGAGTGTTGTTTCTAATGCTAAAATTCAAGCACTCTTCTAGCTTTGAAGACATTTGCATTTTAAGTATTCAGATATTAATGAATATTCAAATGTTGGATATTTCTGTGAAAAGGGATACCCTTTCTTTTTCTTTAACATTTCTGTCTGCACCTTTGGAGAGTAAAGGAAAAATGTGTTTCTAGCAATAGCTTCCCTAGATATTGAGGGGAAAGATACTGAGTTTTCTTGTGCTTGCTTTTTGTTTTCTCCAGGCATGCGTACTTACAGAGGTACGTAGCAGAACCCCTGCCTTGCAGAGGAGATGAATGGCAGCCGTTGATTTGGTACAGAAACTCTTTACTGGCAAGTGAAGATGAGGAGAGCTCTGTCCTCGGCAGTCCAGGAGAGTGGTCCCCTGTGGGCACATCTAAGACGTCTTCTTTTAAAAGGAAATTGTCTAATGGTATGAAGACTCCCCTGTTCTGGATCAGCTGCATTTGCTTTGTCCCAGCAAAAACTGCACTTCATGCATTGCTTTAGCAGTACCACAGTGTGGTGGTTGTTGTGGGCTTTCCACTTTGAACCGTGGCTTTTGCCTGCAGCTTTGTTGTTGTTGTTAAAGCCTCTTCTTCTCCAGCAGGAAGTCTGGTCTGGAGACTTTGTGTGAGCCAAATTCAGATCATCTTGAATTCTGCTCTGTACCGAGCTCTGGCATTTGTCTGCGCCATTGAGACTTGGTTCATTGCTTTCAGTTGTTAAGTTAAGGGTGCTATTGCTTAATGCTCTGTAGGTAATTGAGATGGGACAGGTATTTCCAGAAGGTGATTCACACTTTCAGCCCAGGTGATCTGGGCCAAATCATCTTCTGGGGTCTTTCTCTGTGTTGCATTTCTAGGGAGCCAGTAGGATTATGCTCCTAACTTAAAGAGTTACAGTTAGGTGGGCTGAATCCAGGCTTTAGGAGCTCTCATGGACTTTTCAAATCTGTAATATCCACTGGTATGGTGAGACTTGGTTAAATGTAGTACAGCCACAATGACACCAATTGCCAGTAAAAATGCTAAGTGCATAGGGAAATTTTCCAGAGCATCCTTTGATTTCTCTCTCATCCTTTCTCAGAAATTTTCTTTTCAGTGACCTGCCTGCAGAAAACTTGTTCCCTTGTGTCCCAAAGGCCCTCCTTTCTTGAGGGTTATACAGACTCAGCAGTAGTGAGAGCATTTGTGAACCAGGGCCAAGACCATAAATCTAGGTTGCAAAAATGACCAGTGGGCAAAGTAAATTGGTTTTCTTTTATGCTCCTTTTGGCTGGTTCCTTCAGCAAATGAATGCTTTGCTCCAAATCTCCCTTTGAGCTTGGCCCCATTGCTTCGGCGCTGTGGGGAACATCATGTTGGAAATGCCCATCTCGAGACCTTGGAGAGTGGGGCTGGAGGATGAGTCTGTTCACTGTCTTTACAGGGTCTCTGCCTGAACCCAGCCAGACTGAAGCAGCGAGCAAAGCTCCAGCCCTGCAGCGTGCTTCCCAGCTTGCCTCTGCGCCAGGGAAGAGCAGAAAGAGGCTGAAATCTCGGGAGACGCACTTGCAGGAACGTTTGCCATTCCTTTGTCCAGGAGGGCTGCGGAGAAGATGCTGGTGAGAGTTTTATGTCCTACAAGCTCCTTCACGTGTCCTGGTGTATGGTTGGGGTCTCTCTTTATCCACCTCTGCTTCTGTTTTTTGTATTAAGACCTCCATGGGCAAAGGGCACAGAGTGCGTGCCCTTCCTGTCTTTCTTATGGGCTGTGTCCCAGGGACGGGTTGTCCTCAGCCCAGTATCCACATTTGCTGCTTTAGCCTGATTGTCCCACACTGTCCTGTGCCTTCTTGGACTAATACCGAGTGTGCAGAGAAAAAGCCAAGGAAGGAGGAGGGTTCCCTGTCCCACTTCTCTTGTCTCTGGTCCCTGTTAGAGGGCTGTGGTGTGAGCTACTCCCTGGCTGTTTGCTGCAGCCTGATGATGAGAGTTTCCTGCACCTCTGGAAATGAAAGAGGATTCTCATCTCTGCAAGATTCAAGTAGTAGAGATTCTTGTCTTCACTGCTGTGTAACTGGTGACTTTCTTTTAGAGAGGTGCGTGTCTGTGTGCAGCACACACACGCGCCTGAGTGAAACCCCACGGAACTTGAATGTAAGAGAGGTATTGCAGAAATAGGGAGCCTGGAGTCTACTGTTGAGCTCTGTAAAGCACCCGAAGTGCTCAGTTGGGATATTTTCCTTTAACACAGTTCATTTGTTGAGGTGGTAGGTGCCATTTCCCATATTGGTAAGTTAAAAGATGAAACACGGATCCCAGAAAGACGCATGCTTTTCCACATTTTGGGACACTTGTTGAATGGACCAGGTGAATACAAGTAAAATGGAACCAAAATTTATTGAACATGTATGTGATTACAGATCCAGCTTCTGTTTAAATGAATGTCTTGTTTCTGAGCTGCTTTAGTGGAAATTCCTTGGAGCATGACCTCTTTCTTACCTGGGAAGCACTGGGTCAGAAACTTTGTGCTGTCTTACATGGATATCTCAGCAGCAGATCTTAATGTGTGAAATCTTAATGTGTGAAGCTCTGCCTTAAGCAAATGCTTGTGCAATGTGCAACCTCCGTTATAAAGTTTCTCAAGACTTCACTTTTTTTATTCCCAGCAAAGATGAGATTAAGACAGAAGATGCCTCAGAGGAGGGCCAAGCAGAAGACACAGTTGAAGATGTTGATGTTGACGTGGTTGGTGCAGAGCAGGTAATTCTGGCTTGGGTGAATGTGAGTTCAGAATCTCACGAGTACCCATCTACCAGTAAAGGGGCTGCTCTTCTGTGGCCCCTTCCAGGCTGAGAAAAGGGGTTCTCCCCTCTTCCCTTTCCAGCTGCAGCAGTAGTCTCCTCCTTCAGCTTGATCTGCATTTTTAAGGAAATTCTACTTGTAGGATCCAGCCATCCTTACCTACATTGAACACCAGCTAGGGTGTGCTCTGAGGAGGATCCAGTTTCCTATTTTTATTTTTACCATACTGTGAAGCTCCTTGATGAAGAACTGTTTGCTGCAGTTGCTTCATGATACTGCCACGTTGCAGAGGTGGCACTGCTGTGTGGCTGCAAGAAATGTCTGCTTCAGAAATGGTGTTTGCATTGTGCTCTTCAGATCGAAAGGCTCGGAAATGTGGTCTGACCACTGCAAGCCCAGGACTTTTGCCTCGTTTCTTGCCCTTTTCCAGTCAAGGCTCTTGTGGAGATTAAATTCTCCCCAACCCAGCTGGGATTTGAGAGGAAGCATGGGAACGTTGTGGGCTTGGAGTGGCAGCCAGCATAGCCTGGGGGTTGTCTTGTGGGCACCAATTGCCTTTGGGATCAGGCAATGGTTTGTCAAAACCGCAGCTGTTGGCCTGGGTCTCAGCTCAGCCTGACATGGGCTCTTGCAGCAGGGAAATTCTCACCCTTTGGGACGGTGGAGTGCAAGGGCACCCTGGGTTATGCAGCAGTGACTGTACTGAAAGGGGGAAATAAAAATAATAAAGAGGCCATGAGGTTTCCTGTGCTGCAGCCTATGTCCTATGTTCTCCAAGGGTTTGCTGTGTCAGCCATGGCAGGGGGCTCGGCGGTTCCTTCAGGTTTTCCTCCTGTATTTCCTCCTGCTCTCTGGACTTCTCATAGAATGTAAACCCAGTGCTTGGCAGACAGTTGGTTTTTTTTGCAGTGCTTCAGGCAACCTCTTGATTTTCAGTGGCTCTGGTTATCTGGGATCTAAGAGCCACACTTGAAGGTCTTGTCTGATTTTTGACTTTTTAAATTACTTTTTTTCCCCTGAAGTTGAACAAATGTTTTCTTTTCATATTTGAGTGATGGGTTGTGTTTTGTTTTTTTTTTTTTAAAGAGGACTAGAAGGAAGGAAGGGACTTCCACCTTTTCTTCCAGCTGTGTGCCTTCTGAAATGTAGACTGTTTATTTGGATCATATGCTTGGAGCAGCTCCTATTGAACATAGGCAATAAAAGAATTTAAATCTGTGGACCACGATGGAAGCCATGGAGAAAATGCACTACTTGTCTAGAATGTGGCCTTTCCTTGTAGTGGTACAGAAGTGCTTCTTTCGTGTGGTGGAAGCTAAACATGATGCTTTCCAAGAGCCAGCTGTAGGCAAGCTGCTAAATGGTTAGAGGCTATGCTTTTATTTTGAGTCCTTATGTGCTCTTATATGATGTTTTCTTGATAGTGAGATTGACTTAATCTGTCTTTTTTTCTCCTGCTTTAGGACAGTTAAGAAGCTGAGAGGATAAATGGAAATGAAGAGCATGCTACCGTGTTCTTCTGCAAATTAACTGAAAATGGGGTTGTGATGGCATTAACCAAGGCAGCAGGAGATACAGATCAAGTTAAATCTCTGCCTGTGGGCACCCACACAGAGCCAGTTAGGTACAAACGCTGCAGCTGATTTCTCCATGTTTCTCCTTGTGGTGTTACTGGTTTGGCTGTCATGCTTCTAAGGTTGTGGGCGTTATGAACGGGGTTACTCAGCTGTATCTGGGTCCTTGATGCTACCTTGCAACAATTCTCAACCTAAGGATTGGAGTCAGGGGATGGACAAATATTGAGTCAAAGACTCCGTAAATGAGATGAGAGAAGTGTGCTCCAATCAGCGCAGGGTGTGTTCTTTACCACTTGAGATAACCAAGGTGGTTATCTGTCTGCTTTCCCCTTGTACCTGACCCTGGGGAGAAAGGAGGCTGGCCCAGCTGTGAGCCCTGTGACCTGCTGGGTAATAGCAGGTAACTTGGTCATGCCCTTTCCCACCTGAAAAACAGAAAACCTGGATCAAATGTCTGCAAGGATTTCTAAATTCCAGTGCTTACGGAGATGTGGTTAGTGGTCTGTGGAGATCAGGACATGTTTCCAGGGGACTTGCAACAAGGCCTCTAAGTAACAGAGTGGACCAGCTGACTGAGTATTCTCCTCTGGAAGCAATCCTGTGTAGCCAGTGATCACGTGGTACTTACCTGAAAGGACAGTGTAAACAGACTGCAAACATGGCCCTTCAGAAGTAGTTTCTCCATTAAGAATTTGCAAATGATCTTCACTCAGGAGTGTTTCAGAGGCTGGGGAGTGCTGGCTGCTTTCGCTGACCCTTTGTCACCACTCCATGGAATTTTACCCTGCATTCTTCCTATCAATCAGCTCTATTTTTTATATACATATTTTGGATTGTAACTATGTAAAATAAACTACATAATCATTGCTGTCCATTAGGACTGAAAGTACAAGTGCTATTCCCACACTAAGAGTGGAGAAAGAAGAGCAGCAGTGCTACTGGCCTTCTACTTTGCCCTGTTATTAAATGGAAGTGAGCTCCCAGGAACATGAAAGCCATGACTGTCTCCCAGGTAGCCTGGAGTGGCAATAGTAAAGCCATTATGTTTCATTTTGAATAGTTAAGGAATGCAGGGAGACAGATGATGCCAATTCTCACCCAGATCAACTTGTTCTCTGCCCCTGTGACTCCTTGCCTCCTACCTAGACTGAGGTAGTGATGATCCAGATTTGGGACTATAAGTTTAAACACCAATTATGCAGAAGACAGCTGGACTTGGACTGAGGAAATGCACCTGGGACCACATCAAACATTCAGATGCTTTAATTCTTGTAATGAAGCACTAGGGCTGGGAATTAGCCTTCTGGGGGAAGGCACATTAATCTTCCTAGTTGATGTACTGCAAGAAAAGGCACTTTGACAATAATACCAGAGCTTGCTCTACTAGAGCTGTGCAGGTCCTTTAGGAAAAAAGGGACTTGCTTATCACAAGTGTGATAGAGAGCAGGATGGAACGGGCACCTCATTAAACACCAAGTGGCAACAACAGCTACAGGCTCTACAGAACAGATCTACCCTGCACCACCACTTTGTTTTGCTGCAGAAAAGTCACTGTGTGATGAGAAAGCCTGTGATGTGATGCTGTACCTGCCCATTTACAACCCTGTTTTTAATAAGAGGGGTTCCAGCTGAAGGGTTTCATATAGGGAAAGGCCTCCACCCCTTGAGCAGCAATAGACGTTCAGGATCATCTAGAACCCCAGCTGGGTCATCCTTTCCCACAGCACCTTAGGGAACACAGCTTGACATAAATCCTTAGTGTATCTGTACTGTGTAAAAACCCCAAACCCTGGGCAAGTAGTGAAAGGTATCTGACCAACACTGGAGAAACCTGACAGTTAAAATTAAAAATGGAATAATCAACCCTAACTTCAAGAATCCATTGAATGGTATTAAAATGACTTGAGCCTGCCTTGTTAAAGTTCACTAACGGATGTTGGTGTTAAGTTTCATTACTTCAGATACACAGGTTTGTAAGTCTCTCCCTGAGATGTTGTAATCCATCTGCTCAGCAACACTGCCTTCGGGATGAGGGAAAACCTGCTAGAGCTTGATTGCTTTGAATGCGCAGCTTGGTGTAATTAATCCAACCATGTGTAACCCATTGGATCATAAATGGTTCTTGAGTATATGCAGTGCAGAACATAATAATTAGAACTGTTAAATTACATGTATGAAAATCTTTATTGAAAATACAAACATGACTTTTAAAACATTTTAAAAGATCTACACTGCAACCAAAAAATAACTTACATCTTTTTGTACATTTGTTTTTTCTCTCAGCAAAATCTGTTTAACAGTAAGAGTGAGGCAACGGTTTCAAGCTGCTGTGACACTGATGAATATCCATGGAATGTGTCAATAGCAAACAACTGAAGGGGGGACAGACAAAAGCACTGAATGCCCACAACAAGTTAGTGCACATCACTGATCAAGTAACATTTATACAAAGGCTTTTAAAAAAATTGGTTCCTTCTACATGAATTAACACACTCATTTTGGATCAAGTATGAACACTAAACCAGACTTCATTATTAAATAACCTCTCTAAAATGAACACTAATGAAAAGACTGAAGTTTAAAAGGGGAAGCAAAATTAAAGTTGGGGCAAACAAGGACCACACAAGAAGAGAAGCAACTTGTCTCAGGCAATGGCTTTGCTTTCCTGGTGCGCTAACATGCTCAGCTTCTCAAATGAAACCCTAAGGTGAATGAGCGCCGAGTCACGCACTTTGTCAAAGCATAAAACCCTCGGGCTGTCTATGAGCACTTGTACAGAGCATGGCGGGCTGGGTATGCATTGTCTCCCTACCTCCCACACCAAGACAGGAGCACCTGTTCCCGTAAGGGGTGGAGATGGTCAGTGCACCACACGTCAACTTGGAGAGAATTATACAGTTCTCCTAAAAACAGTAGATTACTTTTCTCTAAAGTCAAATATTGTTATTCTTCCAAAAAGGAACTATGCAACACCTGTAAATAAATATTTTAATCTATTTTACAAACTATAGACTATTGAATAAATACAAAAATTTTCATCATTCCATACAAATGCGCTGCTTTTATTTAAAAGGTAGTGTAGTGATTAAATATTTTTAGCACAAAACTAAGCTGACTTCCTGGAAACAAACACCATGGAAACATACAGGTGTGTAGCAGACCTGCTGCAGACTGTCCCTTCTCTTCTGCAAGTGCTGACCAGATGTAACCGCTACTCAAAGTCCTCTTCGTAGTCATATTCATCCAAGTCTACATCAGGCAGGTGGGAAGGCATTTCAAAAAATGGTCTTTTTTCCATTTGATACTTGAGGACATTGGCCTTCTGGTGGTCTACAGGATTTAGTTCTGCTTCGTACCTAGGAACAGGCAAAAAAAGAAAGAGTCTAGCCCAAATGTTACAGAATTATAGTAAAAAACATGTAACCAGAAGCAGCACTAGGTTTGTCACAGTTTTAGCTAGTTTACTCTCCCCCCACCATGTGCAGAACTTGCTAGTGGGATACACAGCTCTACTGAAAGGATTCAAAGTACGCACTGCTCTAGTGGACTACTCTTAACTTAGAAATGGGCAAAAGGAAGCTTTAAGTGTTTGAGAGAAACCCTTCCAGTTCTTTTCAAGAAAGCTGAAATGATGCTGAATTAGGTAGAGCCAACTACACCTGCAGTAGATACAAGAGAAAGAATACCGAAAGTGTTTTTAGAATACACAGAAGCACAAGGAAGTGATAGCAACCAGCTGTGTATTTAAAGCAGATGCTAGAAAGCAAAAGCCAATTGTTTAATGAGAAATTACTGATTCTGAAAATGAACATATGGATGAAGAAATGCAATGTTTAACTCGAGTCAGTGAAGGCTGGTATTTAAAAAATATCTGCTTTAGGTGGGATCTATTTGCTCACAACTTACATTCAGTTGCTTATTTGGGAAACAATTTAGAAGGGATTCTAA